CCCCCCCCCCCAAACCCCCCCCAGAAAATCCTAATCTAAAATAAAATGAAAAACAGTTCAAAATTAAAGACTGCGCTAAAGTGAGAGATTGAGGGAGAAAAAGCGTCCCTAGCATTTGGCAGCAGCCGTACCTCTCATGTGTTCCCGGTGTCTGTTGCCAGACTTTCAGCCGGGGATGCTTCGTGCCCAGTGGGGAACAGGAGGGCTGCAGCAAGGCTGACCTTTCCCGCTGTAGATGCTCGGAGTGTCGTGACCCAACAGCTCAGGCTTCAGATGCTTGCTGAGAGTCAGAAACACCCGATACTTCTTCAGCCTCTGTGTCAGCACCCCGATTACTTGTTACCTCTTGCGGTATATCGCCTGGGACGTTTAGCGCTGACCACATCCTGGATGTGCTGGGTGCTGTGTGGGCACGCGATGCTGCGGAAGGATGGAGTCGGGAGGTGAGGGTGGGAGGAGGAGGCTTGCGGGGGAGCCCGGGAATGCTGGCTTCTCCACCATCCTCTGTCTCAAGGGCGTTAGAATCTGTTTGAGACTTCCCTGAGAAGGGATATCCTGATTTTTTGCAAGCGATGCCTGTGGACCTCTCTGGTCTTAAAATTTGAAAGTGGCTTTCCCGAGAGCAGTACGTTGGGCTTTGAAGGCGTGCACGGGTTGTGCTCGGTGGTGCCAGGGGTCTGAGGGGTGTCACGAGCTGGATTGAGGACAGTGCTCAGCAGCTCGAGGATCGCCTGCTTGTTTGCTGTGATGGTGGCCTGGGGTTTGCAGGAGGCAGGCGGCGTGGAATCGGTCCTCTCTCCGTAGGGAATGAGCTGCACACTCTCCAAGTGCACCTTCTCGTGTCAATATAGCGTGCATACGTCAAAACCAAAAGCGCATACAGCTTCCCAGCAAGGTGGGGGCAAGCGAGAGTGCTTCACATGGGACAGATGTTAATCACCCTAAGTCACAGCTTACGGGAAAGTACTTGGAGTAAACACACCTGGAACATACTTCTTTTTGAGATGGAGCCGAGTCCCCCTCCTGCCAGCAGCGCTATGCAATAGATGGGAAAATGGTGGTGTGCCTTCCTCTTCTGCCTGGTTTTGATCTGCCTTTCCTCTGCCCTGAGCTCACGTGGATGCCGGTCGGTACCGAAGCGGTGGTGACACAGAGGGGACGTTGAGGCAAAAGGAGTGGTGGGACATGGCCTCTTTGCAGGGGGCGATTTAAGCCCTGGTCAATTTAAATTTTAAGCAATTTAACCAAGCGTTGCTTGGCAGATTGGTAGCCGGAGCCGAGGGGTTTGCTTGTCTGTGCGTCCAGGTGACTTCTCCCCGTAACGTCATTCTGAAAGCTTTCCAGGAAGGCAGTGTGTGATCCTTGTTAAAGTCCTTCCTTACTTCTCCTGCCCTTTAATACATCTGTTTGAGAGCTTGAAAGCCTTGTTGGGGGGCAGCGGTCTTGACAGCCTGAAGGAGGAGGCGTGTGGAGCTGAGTTGAACTCGCTGCCCATACGTCTGGCTCCCCTTTCAGTTCCCTGCTCATTGCTGTCTAAGGGAAAAATGGGATTTTAACACATCTTCATTAGACTGAAGGGTAATATGTTCTACTTCCAGACAACTCCCCGTTACGTATAATCAATTTTAAAGGCAAAAGTTAATGCGATTTATAATTAGCGATAAGGAATTCTAAACCTGGAATTGCAGGCATGTGTATTAATGAATAATCCTTCTGTAGGCTCACAAAATCTATGCCTGAGCTTGCATAGATTGCTCATGCCACGTAAAATATGTTAATTTCTGGGTGGACTAAACTTAAAATAACATGTTTTTCTATTCTCTGAGTAGAAGGGTTGAATTGTGCTGCAAATATTTTTGCAAGTACTGTTTAAAGAGGATATAGTGTGGAAGTTTAATTCCTAGCAAATTTTCCTAACTTATTTCTGTGTACATAATTTAGGAGCTTTGGGTAACTGATTTCCGTGCTTGCCCAGAGGCTGGCTGAACGAGCCCTTCCTGCACAACACGCTGTTAAATTGGCAGAGATTTGGAACGGTAGAGTGACTTGCAGCAAAATTATGTTTGTGAGGCTTCACGTAAACTCCTGCTTTCTGTTACAGCGGTGTAATTATTTTACCGGCCCTCAAAATATATATGGTGATAAATAGATGTAACAGAAGTATCTACCTCGAGCTGTCTGACTGTGAAAAGACGAGAGGGGAGGGGACGATGTGGAAGTAAAACCGACAATGAGATGATTGGCAGCTGTATTAATAGTGTTATTTGCTATAAATAACTTTGGTCTGAAGTCAGAAGTTTGTTGTCGGACACATTTGCATAATACTATTGAGTCAAAATGTAACGCGGTGATCTTTTTTCATTTCCCCCTAGACCGATCCATGACGCAGTCGAAAACGATCACTTGGAAATTGTCCGGCTGTTACTGTCTTACGGTGCTGATCCAACGCTCGCGACCTACTCTGGGAGGACCATCGTGAAAATGACCCACAGTGAGCTCATGGAGACCTTCCTCACAGGTCCGTGGCCACGTTGCGTGGGGTTTTGCTGGTCGTGGCAAATGGAGGGGTGGGATGTTCCCTGGCCCCCCCAAAGCCCCTGCTGCCTGGCGGGGATGGCTCCATGCCGAGGAGCCTTAGGGTAGGCTGCGGTCGCTCGCTCTCTGCCTGCAAAAACCCAGCGGCTGCAGGTGGGAAGCAGAGCCATGCATGGGGGCTCCTTCTAATTGAAACTCTTAAAAGTCATAAGGATTATGACACTATCAGATTTGATAGGTAGGCAGGAGGTCAGTGGGCTGTTTCGGTGCCTTCAGTTTTCTGCTTGAAGTAAAAATAAGAAACTTGCCAAAATTGAATGGCTGTTTGTTAAAGATAATCATGTTTTCCCGTGGTCTTGCTTTTTATCCTTCTAGTACTTGTCTTTTTGCAAGTTCTGCCTCGTTTTGTATTTGAAATGCTGTAAAACTGTGTTAACGGCTGTTGTCTTTAAACATGTCCATGTTCTAACATGGTTTGAGGTATTTTTTCCTGTTAGTTTTGGATAAAGAGACTTGCATTCCCTAATAACTTACCTCTGAAGATGTTTGCGGTTTTCACAGTCAATGAGTTTCAAGTACTCATCCACTTACCTGTTTCAATGGGCCGGTGTAGAAAACGCCCGGGTGTGTGGCGACTCCAGTGAAGTCCAATATCTTGGACTTCTTAGCATCTTGAATACCAGTATCTTTTATTCAACTCAACTAGCAAGTCTCCCAAATTATGTCTGTAGAAAAGAATTACATCTTTTGAACATACCTGTGTGGAAAAACCTTTTCCATCACTGTTTCACCCCCAAGTTGGTGTCCAGAATAACTGTGCAGGCTAAAAAGTGTGATACATCCCGTCTTTCACAAAAGTAAAATGCCGCTCTCGGTTTCTGAAGCCTAAGGTTGGGTCTGTCCCTCTTAGACCATGGGTGATTATTTGATGCGGTGGGTCATTATTTGATGTGACGGGAGAAAGGGTGCAGGAGAAAAGCGAATTCCAGGGATATTTGCAAGAATGGTGTGTATATGCTGTTGTCTGTAGCATGTGCGTCGGGAACACGGTGTGGGGTTTTTTGATGGCAGGTATGGAGGATGCATAGCGAGAGTGGATGACACATGGTCTGCTAAACTTGCCAGCTTTTTGTTCTCATCAGTATGTTTTTGTTGTTGTTTTTTTCCTCTCCAGAGTATTTAACTGACCTGCAAGGTCGAAGTGTTGATGACCCTGGTTTGTACTGGGATTTCTATGGCAGCTCAGTGTGCGGTGAGCAAATGTTACCCTTTATTTCTTTGTATGCGGAGACTTTCAAAACATGCGGCACGTGGGGGTGGGGGCTGTTTTGTTTTTGTGGTGGAGGAAGCTAGGAAGGAAACAAACTGATTTTATTTACAGATCACGTTATTGGAAGAAAAAGCAAGACCTGCAACAAGCTCTTCAATGCTGACTTGGCATCTTTATTCAATTTTATTTAGATCCAAAAGATGAATCTGGATTTGATGTCTTGGCAAATCCTCCTGGCCCAGGTGATGAAGATGAAGATGGCTTTAGCGATGTGTTTGAATTTGAATTTTCGGACGAGCCTCCCTTGCCATGTTACAACATTCAAGTGTGTCTCTCTCAGGGGTAAGAACAATTACAGATTTGGGGGTAAAAAAAAAAAGCTGAGACAATCTGGTCGGGATGATGGCAGTTTGCGTCCATGGGAAAAGCGGTTGCATTTATGTGACGTAAATGAGAGAGCAACACGTAACTGCCAGGCTTTTTTAGAAATAAACTAATAGGAGGTGAGAGGGGGAAAGGCTGACTTGCCAGGGCTGTATTTTGAGCGCAGTACTTCTGAGCAGGACGAGTGACGTTTGAACACAAATTCCTTCCTTCATCCCAGGCAGGCACCTTGGTATAACATCCCAAAATACAAGTGCTTCTAGCACTTAAATTTGCATATCATGTTTGTAAGGTGTTCTTAATTTTATTTAATGGGCTTTTCTGTTTTGCTGAGTGGACACACTTTTGTGGATGACAAAATGACTCCGTTACTGCTGTTCTAGACTTTGCAGCAAAACTGGTTTAAAGCTCTGAATTGGATCAAACAAGTAAGCATCTTGGAGAAGATGCTGTGATACTTAATAATAAGCAGAGACCTGGAAAGTTTTATAATCTATTATATTCAAGATATAAATTAGCTTCATAAACAGCTACCATTAGTCATTTGCACCAATTTTGGTGACAGCCGTGGGAAAAATAGTTTTAAATATTAATCATGCAGGAGTGCAGGGTTTAGCGTGTTTTTATTATTTGGGTGATGAATAGAACTTCAGTTCTCCGAAGTGGACGAGTACAAAGATTGAATTAAAAAATTGCATTCTTAATCTGAGAAAAACCACCCTCTGTTGAGTTGTATTTAATATTGGCATCTCTAGAAGTCAGAGGTGCTGAAACTTCTGGTTATAACTATAAGCCATCTCCTAATTTGCTAAATGAGAGTCAGGCTCAGCCGGGCGAACCTTTAACGGTATGAGCAGCCGTGGGGCTGGCTGCCGACCCCCGTGTGCGCTCACGAGCCCTGGGTTTACAGGCTCCAGTGCCCCTGCGTGCCTGGTCCCCCTCCTTCCCCAAAGCTGCGGGCAGCGGTACTGTGAGTAAACACGTAGGCACCTGCACACATCTGTTATATTTGACCCCCTGGGCAATGGCCCTGATTTCAGGGGGATGCTTTGTGTGCGGGTACGGTCGGGGAGGGTTTGTCACACAGCGATACAGTGAAGAGTGGAGGAGACCGTGACTTAACGTCAGTTATTGGAGCCTCTTTCTCCTTCGCTTCCACAGACCGCGGAACTGGCTTTTGCTCTCGGACGTGGTGAAGAGGCTAAAAATGTCATCTCGCATCTTCCGCTGCAACTTCCCCAGCCTGGAAGTTGTCACCATCACGGAGGCAGAGTTTTACAAACAGACTTCCCTCAGCCAGTTGTTCTCTTGCGCTACGGACCTTGAAGCTTTTAACCCGGAGAGCAAAGAGCTATTGGACTTGGTAGAGTTTACGAGCGAACTCAAGACTTTGCTCGGCTCCTCGCTTCACTGGTTGCATCCGCACGAGGACCCTCCCTTCGACATCCTCTGGTGAACCATCAGGCCATTTAATGTACAGTGCTCTATACAGTTACTTCTTTATGTATATGTGTTCAAATGCAATTGTTTCTGTAAAGAAAGGACACTATTAAATATGAAAATATCTTTCCTTTATATAAGAGATCTGAATTCCAGTTGGATGGATTTTGGAAGAATTTTTTTTTAACTTCAATCAGTTTTTACAAAATTGTTATATAATGTTTCTTTAAATGCACACAGGCTTTGGGATAAGTTTGTTATTACTCGGAACACATTTTTTTTTTTAAAGGACACACCCACACATTGACTTTGTTTCATACAAAGCACTGATTACACAGAACATACTTTTTCTAGGTGATGTGATCAAAGTCGTGTGGCTTGTTTGGGAGATAGAATTCGGTAAGGCACTTGCTGATAATTATTTTTGTTTTTTTGTTTACAGAATTACCTGCTTTGGCCAGGTAAGCACTATTGAATATAATTCAATAGTTTGTAATATAAATTAAACCATATCCATACGCATCAACTAATTGTAAGAACTTTTATATCCTAATTTAAAAGCTGTGAAATTTAGTTTTCACACATCAAACCGGATTGTTTATATATGTTTAAACATTTTATGCTCTTTATTTAAAGAAGACTTTGAACTATTTTTTCTGTACCTTGTAAAATATTGAAAAACTAACATATGTTGAAGTTGCTTGAAACTGTACATAAACTAAATTTTCTGAATTGTGTGTTTATGTTTGAGATCTGTGTTTTAACTTTGTAAGTAAATCTCCTGCCTTTGTATTTATATTTTACAAAAATTTTCTTAAAGGCAATAAAACTGTTGAGAAATGAAGAGGCTAAAGTGACTCCCATTAATTCCGTGCCTGGTTGCGAAATGAGCTCCGTCTCATTAATGTTGATGAAAGGAGGCTCCGCGAGCGGTTCCCAAGCAGAGCAGGGCTGGCACAGGTGCTGGAGAGCAGTTGATGAAATCTGAGTTAGAATCGGCATCGGCTTTTCTAAATTCAAGGTTACAAGAAAACATGGGGCGGGCGCCTTTTGTGGGGCAGAGGTTTAAAAGCGGTATTCACAATACTTTCTGCATCGCCTTTTAGTTAAAGAATTGTGAATAGGTTCAATTATTTTTTCTCCTTTGTCATCGTTTGAAGTTGAATTGACTGAATTCTCCTTTTCAGTGCTGTCTGCAGAGGGGAGGAAAATAGTGCCAGGATAAATGCTTTAGTTTTACTGTGGAGCGTTAAAGCTATGAGCATGCTTTGGGGGCATGTAAAGGGACAGCGACCAGAATGTCACTTTTACACAGCTTGGGAACTTGAATCGAAGAGGCTGGGCTCCTTGGGCTTGGGCAGGCCTTCTCTTAAGGGTCTGGGTCTGCCCTTCCCCTCATGGAAAGAAGTTCTTGCTGTGAACCCAAACTCCAAAGTTTTGCTCTGGAGCTGATTTTAGCAGTAGTATGTCCTGAGATAACCAAACGCTGCGGCCGAGATGTTTAAATCCCGCTACTCTTCAGATGAGGTCCAGGATGCCCACCAAAATCGGTCCTCGAGCAGAGGACTCGGTCCATCCGAGAAAAGCATCTGGGAAAAAGTTTCTCCATCTGGAGCAGTGAGGCTTAGAGGTTTTGATGAATGGACAGTGTGCTGCAGGTTAAATCTTTGCTCTTGGGGGAGCTTAAGAAGGAGTGTGAATTACCCTCGTCCTGAAGGTAAGGGAGAATGATGCCTCATTCCTGAAGATGCCCTAGAGGGAAGAGCTGATACCTCTCCTGGTGCCTTGCCATCGAGCCTTTTGCCAAACGTTTGTACTCTGTGGCTTACGGTGGGACTGCTTTGGGCATGAGGGGTTTTGTAGCTGAGCCAAGAGGCGAGAGAGGGGTCTGACAGCTGTCTGCTGCTGGCAGCTGAAGTCCCATTTCCACACAGGACAGGGAATTTTTAGTCCTAATACAACCACTGACATCTTTCTCCAGACTTTGGATAAGAATGATGATGGTCTCTCCTGTACGGCTTACGCGTACACCCTGAGTTTTCTTTTAAGCCAGCCTCCAGCTTTGCAAGGAGCTGAAACACAGACATCCCTACTCTCCAGTGCCGGCTGCTTTTACCCCCTGATTTTCCCAGAAAGCAAAGGTGGGCCAGAAAAAAAACTAAGGCAAGGGAGAACGTTCAAAGCAATTGTTACAGACACCTTTATCTGATCAGCTGCGTAATGCTTGGATGGCTTGAGCTGAGCATAAATCAGCTTCGTACCACTTCCAGGGGTGCGTGGCAGACGCCTCACTTCTTGCTGTGCCCCGCAGGCAACCAGAAGATTGACGTGGCTTCCTCTTTTGGCCGGCTTCTCCGCAAATGGTCTTGAGCACGTGTTCCCCGAACATCTCCGCTTAGTCAGCTTTCCACTATCTCCACCGGGTACAGTTGGGCCTTCTCCATGCTGGCGCTTGCATCCGTGCTCAAATACAGTAACAGCCTCACGCTGTTGTAATGCAAGCGTGTGCCTGCCCCGGGGCCCGTCCGTGCTCTAAAAATAGGGCCGTGGTGGGGAACACCTGATCGCAGTGCTGTCCCTTGACGTACCGCAACCATTTTATCTTCTAGGATGTACTTTTTTAAAGAAACTTTGCTGTGTGAAGGTGCTTGACAGAGCACTGAGGGTTCAGCGAAGGAGGAAGGCAGCATCCTGTGCTGCTGGGTGCATGAGGCTGGCTTGGCTGACCCTATTCCGGGCAGTTTGGGAGAAAATGTCACGGGAGAGGCTGGCTGCATGTGTAGTTTTGCAGGAGGCAAGCCCAGTTGATAGCTACCTTGGGGAGAAGAGAGATGGCAGCGTGCCGGCAGGGAGCGAACTCGGTGACAGCGAGCGTAGGCAGGGGAGTCAGAGCACTGGCTGCCTTGCCAGCACCGGGGCTGGCTGAATCCTGCACGGTGCAGAGCCCGGTACTGAGCTAGCTCCAGCAGAGCTGGGCTGGGAGGGGGCTGATGTTGAGCATTTCAGCTTCAGGACTCAGGCTGCTCTCCTTTAAAGCGCTTTCCCGTGCATCCTCCTTAGACCAAAGATGCTCGCTTCACACCGCTGGCATTGCTCCAGGTTAATAAAAACTAAGGAAACAGAAACGCAGCCTTTGGGGATGGTAAAACCCTGCCGATCCCGTGTCCTGCCTTCTGCAAGGTGAAAGTGCGGCGTTGATGCCGTTGGGGCCCAAGCCAAGGTGTTTCCTTGAATTTCCCCTGCTTATCACTTGGATTTTTGCCTGGCTGGGAGGTCATGCTGCCCGGTGGAGGTGTTGGAGAACCCACTGGGACAATAGGGAAAAACACCATCTCCAGCTAGAGCAGGCGAGTGAACCTCACTGAAAGGAGTTTCCTTCGTCAAACTTTTACTTGGCGCTGGCTGGGAAATCCCAGGAAATACCCAGCTCCAGGCTGGCTGCCCGGCGGGGGCGGGGGAAGCCACAGCACGGGCAGCGCTGGGAGGTTTCCCTGAGATAAGCCATGCCGCTGAGGACCGCAAAATGTTGAACTCCTCCTTCGTTTTCTTGCCTTATGCAAGAGGACTGAGTTCTGCATAGTGGAGTCAGCCCTGGGAGTTTCCCATTTGGGTTATTTCTGCCTCTGGACACTCTTCTTGGTGTTGGTTTTTTTTTTTGCTTTGCTGTTGTCTCCCCCTTTTGCTCTGCTGGGCTAGCTGGAGGCTTGCACTAAAGACATGGGTGCAGCCGGTAGCGAGCAAGGGCCAGAGGGATTTGGTCCTTGTTTGTGCTCTTTGGGGAGCAAATTTGCTACAGGGAGAGCCCAGATACCCGCTGGAAGCCCGACCCAACTTCTGGTTTGCAGGATCACAGGAGCAGAATGGGAATTGTCTCAAAAACTGTTCCCCAGGGGCCAAGCTCACTTCATGAATCAAAGAGTTTGTAGCTGACTCCTCCCTTCATTTCTGTGCTAAATAACGGAGCTATAGATGAGACCCGTCATTTGCGCATTAATACGAACAAGGTGTCAGGGAGTGGTGAATGCAGGCAGCTGCCATTCCCAGGCTCCGTGGGGCTGCTGGTAAACATTCAGCGTCATTTCTTCAGTTCGTACAGGAAAAAGGCACACATTGCTACTTTAAACTTGTACAGATGGAAGCTAACTGAAAAGAACAGCATCATATCTGTTTAAAATTGTTTGCAGAACATCATGTTTTTGTTTCAGTATGGGTCCAATGTTGGTAGGAGAGGGCTTGGCACCACCACACAAGACGGCAGAGTTGAATGCCACAGCAGTGAAAACATTAGATCTTTTCTTGATGTGCTTATTCACCATTGCGTTTCTGGTAGAAGGAGGGGCAGGAGAAGACAGTGACAGGAATCCAGCAAGTTTCACTTTGTGAGCTTGCTGCGTTGTCAGGGTTAAAAATCCCCAAACAGATCTGAAGAAGATGACGATCTCTTTTAGTACCACATCTAGCTGTCCACCCCATCTTCCCACCATCAGTCTTGCTCGTTCTGCATTTCACCCGTTAGTGTGCTTTGCATTCTTTCGCCGTGATTGCAGAGTGAAGAGATTGTATTTCCCTGCAAGTTAAGTGTGATGGATCATTAGGAGCAGCGCTGCCTTCTACCCTTGGGGATGAAGGCAGCGCGTTGCTTGTTTCTGGTTTGCCAGCCCCGAAGCAAACCTTGTCCACACCATGTGCACATTTTGCTCCAGCAGACTGACATGACTGTCGACGGCTGCTCTCTTGAGCCAGGTATGAACCACAAATCTGCCACTAAATAGATTTTCCTTTTGTTGTCACATTAATTTGCAACTCATTAATAGTGACAGCAGTGAGGTACTGCACTGATGCAGATTTGCATATTCATGACCAACTTATTATTAAACAAATAAGATTTCCCTAGCTTAGGAAGCACCCAGAGTAATGCCACATTGTGCGTTATAGCAGCCTGGATGTTTTATTTTCTCTTTAATATGTTAATAGATGCAAGGGGCGCTCTTTTTTTAAGTAAATGTGCATCTATAAAATAATATGTAATTTAAAATATCAGAATCGTTTAAATAGTAATCCATTAATAAACCTGCCAATAATTGAGCAGGAATACCTATTTAATGTACAAATCAATTAATCAATTCTAAGTGCTGGCTTTGTCGCCTGATGACCGTAACACAGGCAGTACCAGCAAGGCACAACCAAGTCACTGTACCGGCGAGGTGAGCAAGGGGCAGATAGCTGATCCCATGTTTTATGGTTCATTACAGTCAAATTGTTTGGTTTCCATAGTCACTTCTGTTTCTTCCTCCCCTCCAGAAGAGTGGTGGGAGAAAGTGAAGACTCTTTTGGCTTGCTTGCTGGTAATGGTGAAGGTCCTTTACCCAGAAAGTAGCATGACTTTTTCTATCATCGGGCTATTCAAGACTAGCTGGTATGCGTGTCAAAGCCCTCTTCAGCTCCCTGCTGCATCCATATTTTTCATTCCTTTCTGGCTCTTTCCAACAATTTGTAGGGTACTGGGCATAATTACCCGTATGGGAACCAGCTGGTTATTGCAAAGTTCCCCTCCATCCTCAAGTTATTTTTTTTCCTGGCTTGACTTTCCAGAGGCCTTTGATGCTGTTGCTTAACCATGAGGCCAAATGTGGCTCTTACCCCATCCTCCTGTTTCCTTATGAGACACAAGCCACCGCTTTTGAACCGCTGGCCCGTGCACCCAGTCTCCCCAGGCTCAGGAGCTCCTGTTGCTGGCTAATTGCAAAGGGTGTCTGGCCCTGAAGAGACACAACTAAAGCTGAGGATGGTGAAACGCAGCCGTAAGTCACCTCAAAGACTACATCCCTGCAGGTGCAGAGCAGGG